TACCCCACAGCCCCCCCCCACTACCGCCCCCCCACTTACCCCACAGCCCCCCCCCCCACTACCCCACAGCCCCCCCCCCCCACTACCCCACACCCCCCCCCCACTACCCCACAGCCCCCCCCCACTACCCACAGCCCCCCCCCCCCACTACCCCACAGCACCCCCCCCCCACTACCCCACAGCCCCCCCCCACTACCCCACAGCCCCCCCCCCACTACCCACAGCCCCCCCCCACTACCCCACAGCCCCCCCCCACTACCCCACAGCCCCCCCCCCACTACCCACAGCGCCCCCCCCCACTACCCCACAGCACCCCCCCCCCACTACCCCACAGCCCCCCCCCCACTACCCCACAGCCCCCCCCCACTACCCCACAGCCCCCCCCCACTACCCCACAGCCCCCCCCACTACCCCACAGCCCCCCCCCACTACCCCACAGCCCCCCCCCACTACCCCACAGCACCCCCCCCCCACTACCCCACAGCCCCCCCCCACACCCCACAGCCCCCCCCCACTACCCCACAGCCCCCCCCCACTACCCCACAGCCCCCCCCACTACCCCACAGCACCCCCCCACTACCCCACAGCCCCCCCCCCCCACTACCCCACAGCCCCCCCCCCCTACCCCACAGCCCCCCCCCACTACCCCACAGCACCCCCCCCCACTACCCCACAGCCCCCCCCACTATCTCCAGCCCCCCCCCACCCCACAGCCCCCCACCCCACAGCCCCACACCCCCCCACCAGCCCCACAGCCCCTCCCCACCACCCCCAGCCCCCCCCCCCACAGCCCCCCCACTACCCCACAGCCCCCCCCCACCACCAGCATCCAGGCAATGCTGTCCCTGTTAATTCTGATTAAATACAAAGCTAAAAGCTACAGTCATTTTAGGCCAATTTCTTAAAATCCACGACTCTTTTCCTCTCGCCACCACAAAACACCTCCCCTCACATGCGGATTGGACAGTTTGTGAGGTCGCCTGTTATATTTCCAATTATATTTGCTTAGAGAAAGAGAAAAAAAACATAAATGACAAGACTACAGCCAGTCTTTGGCACCCAATTCCCTTTTAATATATATTTTTTCTCCTCCCTAGTTACATTGTTTCAAGAAAAACAGTAAGAACACCCAGATCAGTCAGCCTTTGAAATACCAGGTATCAAAATACAAGGATTATTATTATAAGCAACTAAAACAGAAGTGGCTGGGAACCTCAGCAGCATCTATGGAGACTCACTTTCTCCATAGATGCTGCCTGACCAGCTGAGGGTTCTCAACGACTTCTGTTTTGGTTTCAGATTTCCAGTATCTGCAGTATTTTGCATTTTATTATTATAAGCAATCAGCACCTCAGGCAAAAATCAAGTGAGTTAGTTAAAGGCTGCCTTGGTGTCCAAAATCCTTCACTCTGACCGTTGTACACTTCTATCTGGTGTCTGGAAATCAGCTTGAATTAAGGTGCGCCACAGACCCCACACACAAAGAGGTGACCACAAACAGCGCCTTCTGGGTCCAGTCTCACACAATAGACTGTGGCAGAAAACGGGGCTTAAAGCAACACAATTTGGTGTTTAGCCCCAGCATATAGCCTTGCATGTTTCGCCCACAAAATACAGTCAATCCACTTTACAGTATGTAAAGTATTCTGTGAAGCATTTTGAGATGTCTCAAAAGATTAATATTACATATGTAGCTCTGGGCTGCATTGCCCATCACTCACACTCCACACATTAGTCACCAGCCAAGCCAGTCAGTCACATTTACACCCCCACCCAACACACACTCACACACACAGCAGAACCTGAACAGCAAACAATGAGGTTTAAATACAGCTCAAACTCGCCTCTTGCTGTTCCACGATGCCCAGATGAAACTAGTGGAACTTAAACGAGTCACACTGATGCACTTGGTTGCCATTTCTTGTGTGCGAAGCTCAGCCGATGTATGTATGTATGTATGTATGTACAGTATATGTTCCTGTAGCCTGTAATGGACTGGTGTCTGAGGCGAACACTGCAGAGATGCTCTGTATGTGTTCCGGTAAGTGACTGACAAGTACTTCAGCGAATCACAAGGAAACTGTGAGGTGGCGCCTCCTCACTGCCGGGACTGCACACAGGGTTTTCAAATGCAGAGTGTTTGTGGAGAGTAATTTTTCCGTTTCAACTTTGTAATAAAAAAATTGTTTTCATCTCAGTTAAGCTCCCTATTTGCAGACTAACTTTTAAAACATTGAACATTTCAACTTTTAAAAAAAATTATTTTTAACATAATGTATGTTTTAATATACTAAAATATATTAATTAATCAGCCTCTTATCCTGCTTCCTTCACATCAGTGAGTTGACAAATTTCGTCAAGTGATAAACGTCTCGACAATCCCACAGTGGTCCTGTATTTCGGCATTTCCAAACAAACTATGTCAGCAAGCAGAAAATCAGAAATAAGCTTCCCGCCAAAATCTATTACAATAAAGCCTGGGCCCTGGGAAAAGAGGATAAGGACATTAATTCAACAACATCAACAACATTAATAATAATAATCCTTGCATTTGATATAGCGCCTTATCACCTCATTGCGATGTCTCAAAATGCTTTCTAGAATATACTGTAAAGCGAATTGACTGCATATTTTGTGGGCAAATATTTTACAAAATATAAAATGTGTTTTATAAGTTGCATGTATAAAGTGCCTTTCACTTTGAGAGACGCAGAAGATGTGATAAGGCGATATATCAAATGTGAGGATTATTATTATTATTCACGTTGGAAGGATGTTATTATTCACAGTGCTTGTCAAAGCTGTGTAGGTTCCAGAACTGGGCTGGGAACTGCACAGAGTCGGGGCAAGATGATCAAAAATGAGTTCAAAGAGGTACATTTTGAGACGTGCACAGAATGAAGGGAGGGAGGGAAATGTCCGCACTCATTGGGACGTCCCTTGGGACGTCCTCCTGACGTGAAAGGCGCTTTATAAATGGAATCTTGTTGTTGTTGTTGTTGTTGTCATCTTTGATTTCTTGAACAATATCCATACAGAAACCCAGAATCTTGTTGAAATCATGGAAAGAGCCACATTCCCTGAATACCTTTGGTTTTTTTTACCAGCTTGTTTGTGATTCCCAGAGCTTGATCAAATAGGCACTGAAATAACTTTCTGCACCAGTGAACAGTTTAGACACAGAATGTGCAGTCTTTGGGAGAGGTAGTGAGAAGTTCAGGGATGAAATTAATGTATCAATTGCTGCCTGTAGCCAATACCTTGCAATAAGTGTCCTCAAAGTGAAATTCAATGATTTTGTCACACCGAAATCTAACCCTACGAACGTGGTGTATTGACAGAGCATTTAAAGAGATCAACTGTGACTGGACTGCAATATTGGAATTAATTAAGGAAACTTGCCTAAGGTTGCGCCCTTCGACCATGTATGTTTATTGGTGTTGCCAATCAGAGGCTTATCATTGCCTAACACCAGCACAAAGAAAGAAATTGCCAAATAAATTGTATATTTATGTCCAGTACCAACCTGGGGTATACTGCAACACTTGATCGGCAATGTGCTCAGAAGGGAATTTCAGCAGAGAAGGCATTAAACTTGTTGCATCAAACCAAGTCTCTTATTCTTCAGTAAAATAGTATAAATGTTTCACATACATCTCTGAAGTTGTACAGTATTATCAAGCACACTGCAAAATAAGATGAGACCTATCTCATGAGTTCCTGAGGTCATGCATTTAATACGGTAAGGTACTATGTTTGGCTCAATTGGTAGCACTCTCAAATCTGAGTCCTGAAAGTTGTGAGTTCAAGCCCCCATATCAGGATCTGAGCTCATTCTGTGGATTTTAAAGATTGTAAGATCGTATAAGACTATATGAAAAGAGACAGATGTTTCTTTCTATGTGCTGGCCAACAATCCGCAGATTAAATGGTCAAGACTGTGACAATTTGCTGGCACAAATAACTGCTGGGATTGTCGAAAAGTACAGTCACTACACTTAACAACAAATTGCATGTACATAGGGTCTTTCACAGCAATAGTTATTACTTGTAAAGCGTTGATGTGATAAAATGCTCTTTCTTTCTACTCAGGACATTTTTGTGTAGTTGCTGGCATTGTCTGGAGATATTTGTACATATATTATGTCCTTAGAAATCTTTCAATCTTCCTTGGACACTGGGGTGATGCCAGTGGACAGGAGGGTTGCAAATCTTTCTCCCCTGTACAAAAATGGGCAGCTGGATAAACCCGGGAACTAAAGGCCAGTCAGGCTAACGTCGGTAGTGGGGAAACTTCTAGAGACTATAATTCGGGACAAAATAATTTTTCACTTAGAAAAATATGGGTTAATAAAGGACATCCAACATGGGTTTGTTAAAGGCAAATCGTGTCTAACAAACTCGATAAGAGTTTTTGGATGAAGTAACGGAGAGAGTGGATAAAGTTGATATAGTTTATATGGATTTTCAAAAGGCGTTTGATAAAGTGCCACATCAACAACAACAACAACAACAACAAGATTCCATTTATAGAGCGCCTTTCACGTCAGGAGGACGTCCCAAGGCGCTGCACAGTTGGGTCATGACCCGAGCAGGGGGGAAATGGTCAGGGTGAGGGGAGGGAAGGGAGGGAGCGAGGAGGAGGAAGAGAGTCGAGAGGGGAGCTGAAGGCACGGTCAAAGAGAAAGGTTTTGAGACCGGCCTTGAAGGAGGAAAGGGAGGAAGCAAGGCGAAGGCACTGGGGATGGAGTTCCAGAGCCTGGGGGCTGAGAGGCTGAAGGCCCGACCACCGATGGTAGGGCGGTTGGGGCGGGGGACGTGGAGCAGACCGGAGCCAGAGGAACGGAGGGTACGGGCAGGTAGGTAGGGGATAAGAGACTTGTAACAACAACAACAACAAGATTACATTTGTATAGCGCCTTTCACGTCGGGAGGACGTCCCAAAGCGCCGTAAGCAAAATAGACGCCCATGGTATTAAATGGACAGTGGCAGCATGGATAGAGAACTGACTGGGAGACAGAAAGCACAGAATGGTGGTGAACGGTTGTTTTTCTGACTGGAGGGAAGTGTGCAGTGGTGTCCCCTGGGGATCAGTATTGGGACCACTGCTGTTTTTGTTCTATATAAATGACCTGGACTTAGGTATATGGAGTACAATTTCTAAGTTTGCAAATGATACTAAGCTAGGAAAAGTAGTAAACAGTGAGTTTGCTACTTTTGATGTCTGAATGATGTGAAGCAAATGGGTTAGCTTGTTGGCAATGAGCCAAGGTTTGGTGCTGCAGCCATTTTTTGCTCCAATCTGTGAATGTCAGGCTGTTTCCTCATGTAACTCTTCACAAAGGTCTGAACTCCCAACTCACCAAGACATTCCCTGAAACCTACCTTTCCTTCAGCACTTTCACCTTGTATCCTGCAAAGACTCATATAAGAATGAGCTTTCACACCAGAACATCCATAAGTTTGTTTCTGGGTATGTGTTAGGTTAATTGCTCTCTGCTTATCCAGTTCTGCCTGTACTTGTCACTGACATGATACTAAGCTAGGAAAAGTAGTAAACAGTGTGGATGATAGTAGCAGACTGCAATGGACTTAGACAGACAGCTAAAACTGGCAGACACATGACAAATGAAGTTTAATGTGGAGAAAAGCAAAGTAATGCATTTTGGGAGGAGGAATGAGGAGAGGCCATATAAGCTGATGGTACAATCTTAAAGGGGGGGAAGGAACAGAGAGACCTGGGGGTTCATATGAGTAAATCTTTGAAGGTGGCAGGACAGGTAGCTGTTAAAAAAAACATACGGGATACTAGGCTTTATAAACAGGGGCATAGAATACAAAAGTCAGGAACTTATGATGAACCTTTATAGAGCACTGGTTAGGCCTCAGCGAGAGACTGGGTTCAGTTCTGGGCACCACACTTTAGGAAGGGTGTCAAGATGTTGGAGCGAGTGCAAAGGAGATTTACCGGATGGTACCAGGAATGAGGGACTTTAGTTATCAGGAATGGCTAGAGAAGCTAGGATTATTCTCCTTGGAGCAGAGAAGATTAAGAGGAGACTTAATCGAAGTTTTCAAAATTATGAGAGGATTCAATAGGGTGAACAAGGAGAAACTATTTCCATTGGTGGGAGGTCAGTAACCCAAGGATACCGATTTAAAATAGTTGTTAAAAGAAACAGAGGGGAAGTGAGGATCGAGTTGTTTGGATCTGGAATGCATTACCTGAAAGTGTGGTGGAAGCCGATCCGATAGCAACTTTTAAGAGAGAAGTAGATAATTATTTGGTTTACAGGGCTACTGGGAGAGAGCGGGGGAGTGGGATTGAATTGGATAGCTCTTTTCAACACAGCGAGTTGTTCGGATCTGGAATGCATTGCCTAAAAGGGTGGTGGAACCTGGGTGTGTTGTTTGACCCTGAACTGTTCTTTCTCCCCCACAACAGTGCCATGACCGGCACTGCCTACCACCACCTCCAAAATATTGCCAGACTCCGCCACTGCCTCACCCCTCAGGCTGCCGAAACCCTCACCCACGCATTCGTCACATCAAGGCTCGATTATGGAAATTTCCTCCTCATCGGCCTTCCCAACTCTTCCCTTCTCAAGCTGCACATCATCCAAAACTCTGCAGCTCGTGTACTCTCACGCACCAGGCTCCATGACCCCATCACTCCCACCCTCGCCCGACTCCACCGGCTCCCCATCCCTCAGAGAATCAAATTCAAGATCCTCGTCCTCACTTTCAAGGCCATCCATGGCCTTGCCCCCTCCTACCTCTCTGACCTGCTGACTCTCTACCAACCTGCCCGCTCCCTCTATTCAGCGGCTCCGGTCTGCTCCATGTCTCCCGCCTGACCTGCCCTACCATCGATGGCTGAGCCTTCAGCCTCTCTGCCCCCATACTTTGGAACTCCATCTCACAGTACCTTTGCCTCGCTTGCTCCCTTGTCTCCTTCAAGGCCGGTCTCAAGACCCTCCTCTTCGATCGTGCCTTCGGTCGCCCTCCCACCTCTC